TGGCTGGAGAAGCTGTGCGTCGGTGCGTGCCCGGGATCCGAACCTGGGCTGCCAGTAGCGGAGCGCATGCACTTAACCACTAAGCCACAGGTCCAGCCCCGCCACTTTTCTAATAAATGCATTTAGTGCTATTAAATTCTTTCTCTACACTGCTTTAGCTGTGTTCCACAAGTTTTGACATGTATTTTTATTTTCATTCAGTTTAATGTATTCTTTTATTTCCTTGATAACTTCTTCTTTGAACCATGGATCATTTCAAGATGTATTGTTAGGTTGCCAAAAGTTTGGAGATTTTCTTGTGATTTTTCTGTTATTGATTTTGAGTTTGATTATATTGCGGTTGGAGAACATTTTCTGTATTATTTTAATTATTCTGAATTTTTTGGGGTTTGCTTTACTGTCCATGATATGGATTATCTTGGTGTATGTTCTATAGGCACTTGAAAAATGTGTATTCTACTATTGTGGAGTGGAGTGTTCTATAAATTTTTATTAAATCCTGTTGGTTGATAATGTTGAGTTCTTCTATATTCTTGTTGATTTTCTGTCCAGTCATTATATCAATTGTAGAGTGAAGGATGTTGAAGTCTCCAACTATAATTGTGGATTTGTCCATTTCTCTTATCAGATCTCGCTTCACATAGTTTGTAGCTGTGTTCTTTGGTCCATATACATTTAAGATTGGTATATCTTCTGGGCGAACTGACCTTTTATCATCTTGTAATGTCCCTTTCTTTCCTTCATAATTTTCTTTGCTCTGAATTCTCCTTTATCTGATATTGATATAGGCATTCTTGCATTTTTTTTGCTTAATGTTTCTGTGATATCCATTCTTTTATTTTCAATCTGCCCATACTGTTATATTTTGAAGTGAGTTTCTTATAGATAGCACATAGTTGGGTCATGTTTTTTACTACATCCTGCCAATCTCTGTTTTTTTATTTCCTGTATTTAGATCATTTACATTTAAGGCAATTATTGATATGTTCGGGATTAAGCCTACCATTTTACTTATTGTTTTCTCTTCTTAGTTTTTTAGTTCATTGTGGTCGTAGCACTGAGGTTTATGTTTCCTTGTTGGCTGTTAGCTAGGGGCTGGTCTTTGCTCCTAATGGGCCCACTTCCACTCTCCTGCTTTCCATGATCTCCTAAAGGCCCCTCTATGGTCTTGCATTTGAGCCCCTACATCTCAGAGGCAGCAGTGGTGTGCCAGTCCCTCTCACACTTCAAATCTGTCTCATTTCCCTTTCTGCTGCATCTCTCTTGCTTCATCTTTTGCCACACATCTCTTCTGCTTCTATCTGGAAAATTCTCTGCTTATAAGAGTTTATGTGATTAGATTGAACTCACTCAGATAATCCAGGTAATCTTCCTATTTTAAGTTAACTGCAAAGTTGACCTTAAATTTAATTACATCTGCAAAGTTTCTTTGATCATGTAAGGTAATATATTTGCAGATTCTGGGGATTAGTAGATGTACATCTCTGGGATGGGAGAGGGCATTATTCTGCCCATCATAGCAGTCAACTAGAAAGGAGAACAGAACTCAGGTATACTAGCTCTCATTATTTGTGTCTATCAGTTTCGGTAGGGCAGAGCTGAATAACTTCTTGAAGTTCTTTCTGGTCAAAGTTTCTTAAACCCACCCTCCTGATGTTTTCTGCCATCTCCCAGAATGACCTGCCATTGAAACCTAAGGCCACAAGTTAAAAAGAAAGAACAAAAGCTGTTTTCTGAATACAAAGACTTTATTATCCTTGGCTCCCTTCCATTCTTACCTGCCCCCTCCTTCCAGAGTGTTTCTGAGTATTAGGTGGGAATTTGGCCACCCAGCATGTGACAATAGATTGGGAACAAGGAGGAGGAGAAAGGGAGAGGATAAAATGGAAGAGTAGGAAAGGGGAAGAAGAAAAGGAGAATGACTGAGAAGGGGAGGGAAAGGAAGAAGAAATAAGTCATGGCACCTGAGGTAAGAATGAAGGAGATCAGCCAGCTGTAAGGATGCCACTGATCTTCTGTTTGCAAATTACCCAGCATGGCCATCAGGAGGCACAGATACACTAGTGCACACAGGGCCCACACTAGCATTTATGGAGCCTTTGTATAAATCAGAAAAGGTAGTCCCTCTGGGCAGCTGTGGCACGTGGTTTGGCAGGTGGACACCAGGCTGGGTTTCAGCCTTGATTGGGCCAGGTGCTCTTGCAAAGGCACAACCTGCATGGTTGTATGCAGTGCCCTCATAATGGCCTCCATGGGCAGCTGCCTTCACACTGTGTGTTAAGTACAGCGTTGGCCTTGGGCTGCTGGTCAGTCTCACCAGGGACCTTCTCCTGCAATGTCTAGGGGAGACCTGGAGGCAGACAGTCCTTTCCTGGTTATAGACTGGGTCAGGACTCTTTGATCACAAATCTCCTCCTCTCCTCCAGCCAAAAGAAGTCTCCAGTCCCCCGTTCTGTCTGTTTCTCATTTCTCCTTGAGATTAGTCATCAGGCCAGTATTAAAGGGAGCGGAGAAGCTGGCTGTCTCTCCCAGAACCCTCCCCATTTACAAGAAGTCTAAATGGCAGGGCCTGTCCGGTCCTTGCTGGTTGTTTCCTTTGAGACAGCAGCCAGAGGGAGAGGTGGGAGTTGAGGCAGAAAGGAAGAATAATGTTGTTTAACACTGCCCGGCTCAGCAGATGAAAGCCTGCAGGCCTTTGGCTGAAGATAGCACAGAAAGGGACAGGCAGAGTCAAACTTCAATCTTTTCTCATCATTGTTTTCTTCAGCGAACCACGGGCACTGCCCTGCTGGCAGCCTGGGTGCTAGTGGCTGTTGGCTCATGACCTGGTGGGATAGAGATTCCAGATTCTGGAGGGATTGGAGGAAAGTAAAAACAACGTGTCCTGTTCACTCAGAGGGTATGGAGGCCTCTAGAATGGCCCAATGGACAGGTCACCTGGCTGCAGGGTGATGTACCCTCCCACACCCAGGGCCACATGTGCCAGGAGAATCCCACATCTGGAGCAGGAAGAGGTCTTACATTAGGATATGGTTCAGCTCTCTGACTTCAGCTAGGGAAAGCAGGATCCTGCCCATTTTACAGATAAAGCAACCGAGACCTGGCCTTACCGTAGGATATACAGCTAGAAAGTAGACTGAAGGGGAATGAGGGGACGGTAGAAATGCAGGCTCTAGTCCTCTCTGGTTCCATCCTGGGGACACTGGCAACCTGGCCAGCCTGGACCAGCATGAGCCGCACTG